TTAAAGGAAAGTCATCCAGTTGGTAATGATGTATTATGGGCATGTCTTTTGGGGCATCGACTTGGTCCAGGAGCATTACAAGAAATATTAAATCATGTGATACGTAATATACATTGTCCAACCTTATTGACTGATATTCTACATCGTTGTCGATCTATACCATGTGGAGTTAATGTAAATTCGGCAAATTGTAATTTAAATATGAATAATAATAACAATAATAATATCAATGGGGTAGATTCATCATCATCAATTATGATGAATAACAATATGGCTAATTCAATACCATTAGTTGGGCGTAAGTTGTTCGTGCAATTGATTTTTTATTATATATATTGTGTAATTTAACTTAATGAACTAATCAAATCTAGATCCATAGATACATTTAGCTTTAGAGCCCATGGTTTGTATGTTCAGTTTAATAGAGTGGTATTGTGTTATTGATATCGACAGATATATGTAGTGTATATCACCGATCGAAAGTGAAATGCATGGCAGAAGAAGGTTGAGGAAATCAATGCGAAGAGAACGAAAGTAATTAGTATGGAAATGAAGTCTAAGACAGTTGATTGACATTCTACAAATGAACTATTCGCTGTATGGTTGTCAGATTTTACTAAGAGATTCTGTAGCTTTGTATTCAAATACATTTAGTTGTCCCTTCCTATGTTCTGGTTCATTATTATTCGGTTGAATAAATCCCATGGCAGATTGGAATTAAAACCTCTCAAATTATAATTAAATGTTGACTGCTTTTAATTCCAGTAACTCAGTAATCAAATATGGATTCATGTACTTAGCTTAAAGCTACACTATTTTATGCAACCAATCCAAAATAGGTGAGACATAGTTCAAATTTTATAGCCAAGGAGTTGGAAGTTGAATATTTCGAATGTTAAATTATTGAATTGCATATTATGTAATACACCTGTTATGAAGCGCTTTAACCGGATCCCAAACCAATGGTGCACATGGGCTAGCTCCAGTATCCTGAAGGAACCATTGGCGTATGAACCAATCGTTGATTACCGGCTACCATGGGACTGCATCTCCTTAAGATGCTCCACTGCCCTGAGGGTTAGACCTTTAGGTCAAAGGCTCGGGGTGTGGCCCCCTAAGAAAACCACCTGCTTCGGTTTGGGCACCCGGAGAGTATCACAGCCCTCACACATATCAAGTGAGATCTGCGTGGCGCATATGTATTTGGTGTGCCTCCTTGTACCGATATCTATGTGTTAAAATAAATAAATAATAAATGTCAAGTGTTGTGACCAGTATTTGAAAATATTAGTAATCGTTTAAAATATCATTTCACACTTATACCGAAATCCATGAAATACATATATTTTCATAAACTTGTTTGTAGATATTCATTTATTTGATTCTAAAATAGGCATTTGTTATAGGCTGAAATAAATCGAAGTAGTGAGTGAAATCGGTTCGAACGCTCCCTCTCGCTCATCGACTTCGGCGACCAATTACCATTAACAGACTATATATAAATGCTTCAATTAGTAATCACGTTCAAGTTTATATAAAACTAACATTGTGTATTCCAGCTAATAGTTAAAATATAGTATGCTCAAGTTACCATAATCCACAAATTGTACATGCATTACAATTGACGAGTGCCAAGTAGGACGAAACACGTGCTTTGAATCCCACTACTAACCACATTCTATATCAAATTGTATCGTAATAGGTACATCGGGGCATTTGGCACAGGATAATGATGTACCAAATAAGACTGATCAAATTCCATTTGGAACGGGATGATCTAAGTTAAATTGATCTACAATAATCCATAATTTGTCAAATTACATTTAGATTTAAAATACCCACTGTAACCAAATAGTGTTGACTTTGTCAGTTGCATAATAGAGTAAATAGTGAATATTCTTAAAAGATACCGAATGCTTAGGAGTTTCTGTTTGCAAACCTCTACGTACACTAAGACGATTTTCTTCACCAAAACTTGATCATTTCATTTTGTACTAACTACTAACAAGTAGTAAGTTTGTTTAAACGTCATCATCATATTATTAGTTATCTTATTTCATTTTGTACACGTTTACATTTTTTCCAGGTGGGAATTCGTGTGCAACACACTTTTGCAATCCAACACCACACTATATTAACAATAATAATGGTACCGGTGTATCGGGGTGTACGGGTAAAATGCTTAGTTTAGATCGACCACCATTGAAAGGATTATTAGATGCGGCTATTAATGGATTTGTTATGGCTACACATATGCGATTAGCAAATATTAGCCCACGTCAATATGCAGAATTTGTTGATTTTTTAACACGAGCCAGAGATACATTTCATTTACTTCGGCCAGATGGACCATTACAATTTCGTAGTTTGGTTGAATGTTTAAGACAAACTTATCGAGGAAAACGAAAACTGGTCTCATTATTGTCGGAACGTTTCGGCTGATGAGTTATTGAAAACCGTATATATATAAATAAAACTTAGTAAGTGTCTACCCTGTTTGCTATAAATTTTTATGATGCCTATTGACTGTATAATTAATTGCCTATTTTTGAAAATGTGTATTCTAGTAAACATTTTAGACTGAAACAACTTAGTGACAGTGTTCAAATGCCATAGAAAGCATCCATTACATGGTTAACAAAGGTCAGCTAGCACTAAACCTCTCGAACAAGGATTTTCTGCTAGCTTATTTATATAAACATTGGTACAATGTGGCACTAAATAGATATGCACCACGCTCCATCATCCGAATTCTTTGAGGGCTGGGATACTACTCGGGTGCCCAAACCGAAACGGGTGGTTTTCTTGGGAACCCGCTTTTCGAGCCTTTCATGCAGAGGTCTAATCCTCAAGGCGATTGAGCAACGTTAGGAGATGCAGTTCTATGGTAGCTGGTGACCAACAATAGGTTCCTACGTCATTTCTACCCTCAGGAGACCATTTGCACCATTGGTTTGGAATTACTGTTTCCAAACTCTACTAGATGGATCGTCTGTATCCTACTGGACTACCTTCAATCGAATAATACATCAACGAAGTGAATTGTGATTAGACTTTAGTTAGTCACTTCAATGCATGATACTTGCGAAATTGTGAGAATCATCTCTTCCAATCATACTGATTCAATGAGAATCAAATGAATATTTGTATTCTTTTAAGTGTCATATCATCGGTAATGATAGATCGGACGATATGAAGCTTTCAAGCTAGAAGCTTTAAGGTATACTCTGGATGCATTCATTTAACGTATATACTTACGAATATATATTTCCATATTATGATGTGCAATTTTAGTGTAAATTGCATTACACATAATTTAAACCAACAATAATCTTAATTAATGGGATTTGATAATTATAAAAGTATCATTATGCTGAAACTTCTAAGGGTGGATCTAATCTGATAATGAATGCTAATGGGTTAAAAAACAGATACCTTGAACGTCATTGTAGAGATGTGTGTGTGTACACTTAATTTTAATGATCAGACTTATACATCTTAAATGGAATTAGTTTTGATTATGATGATAAAACGGTAATAATACTTTATAACATTTACAATTAATAATAAGCGATGTGTTATTTCAATGGCTGAGATCATGAGTCAGTTGAAGCTAGATCACCATTGAAAACCTGGACAGCCGTTTCGTTCTATTGTAGGACTCCTCAGCAGTGCCCAACCACGACCTCGCCGCCCGCGGGACTCGGACTCAAAACCTATCAGTTTAGCGCGCGAGTGCTTAACCATTGAGCCGTCATCCAACGGTGTTAATATCTAACTTCAACTAATCCACATCCACCATTGTCATATTTTATTTATTTATTGTTGTACAGCTTGCAGATCAACCACCAGTTTCTCTTGGATAGTCAACTAATCTGACTGTACATTTTATTTTTACTGTATCCCATATTTTATCCTTGAGTATCGTAACAAAACGATAGCTCTATGGAAAAATGTGGGAAAAAACAATTCCATATGTACTAACTAAAACACCACCCTTTTATCAGTCATATTCTCTCATTATATGACTATCTTTATACAAAGTTGATCAAATCATTAACACAAATATTGTTCTTTATGTTGTGTATCTTATCAAATTTCCTTTTTATTTTTCAGATCTACTTTTGTTTACACACACTCAAAAAAAAGATGCAAAGGATCAGTTGATTATTGATCGCAACACAATTTGTAAAACACGACTGCTATTATTATTATTATTATTACTACTACTACTACTATCACTACCATTACTATTACTGATCAAATCAAATGAAACCCTGACTGACATGTTATATATTATTTATACCATACAACTTCTATTTGCCTCAAATTTGTATTAAAGAATTAGAAATATACATAAAGAAACTTATGAATAAATATATATCCATGCATAATTTGTGGATTATGAAAAGATTACGTCATTTTTTTGTTTTGTTTTACACAGTCCTAAAATAACATTTTTAGTTACATAATATAAGTGGTTATTATATACCGTTTCCGTTCAGCTGTAGATCTTTCTAGACGTAAAATTAGTCAATAACTTCGCTTATTGTCTCTTGTTCGTGTATTTATCTCTCTCAGTCAGTCAGTCAGCTACAACGTAGGACCAGGAACATATATACATCGGTCGAAGTTGTCATACCGCATTAGCACAGCAAGATGAACACCGGATTCATAGGAGTAGTTAAGTCAATGGTGGTAATATATATATAAGGATATAGTACAAGAAGAAAGAATTAGTACGTAGAAAGATATGAAGCGATTTGAATCTCTTAGTTTAAGGGAAGACATAGGATGTATACACCTACGCCATTGTGAACGATACTGAGCCATGTCACACACAGTCTCCAACCATTGGTTACGATAGTCACCCGGACCCCAACTAAGTAGTCTGCATCTACCAACATGGCTCAGATCTCTCTACTGACTAATCTATCTATATTTACATACCTACCCACATAGACGATATTAACGTTATTTTAAAGATGACAAAATACGAGTGATAATGCAGAAAAGTTGTATGTACAGAGAAAAAACGAAAAAAAACAAGCCTTAATACAATATGAATAATGATGATAATTATAAAACATGAAACGCATGGACAGATGGTAATTCATTCCTTCTCTCCTTTGTTACATTCTTTTTTTATATTAGTAAGCCGTAGGACTATTGATCATCATTCTCGGTGCAATTGACATTGACATTAATTCTTGGAATAATAATTTACAGGCATAGGGTAATTTCACTAAAGAAATCTATTGAAAACAAAATAAAATAATGAAAATATTTAATCAACAATTATCATCAGTTAGTCAATAACAATGTAGAACTTTGTACGTACGTACATCAGTTCAAATTGCCATATCACATTAACACACAGATACAATTGTCCATTTAAATCCCATAGTGGTAGAGGTGTATATAAGTAGTATATAAGCAGTAATCGGAAATATTAGGGTTTGAAGATTTTATTTAAAGAATATAATCCAGCGAAATAAATTTGGAAAGAGAAAAAAGAAAGGGATATGAAGAATTCAGATTAAAAAGTTGGGAGAACACCAAGTATGGATGCACCTGCGCATACCATTGCAAACTATTTTGAGTCATGTCATTCAAGATCTCTAACCATCGGTTGCTATCCTATCGCGGATCCCAACCAGGTAGTCTACACCTACCTACATGGCTCTGTCCACTTGTCAGTGACTTCATGGATTTGTGTCATGTTTTGGTCTGACCGCCCCTAGTTTTCTTCCAATCTACTCCTACACCATAAAACATCGCACGTCGGGGCGTTTCATAAGTAGTAGTTTTATTTAAATATTATTATTGGTTAGCTGAGTGAAGTCTGTGTTGCTAATCCCATATTGAATATTATCTATAAACTAACTGAGCCTAAGAGATTTGGATAGACTGTAAGAATTCAAAGCATTACTTATATATACTCGAATCATCAAATGAATAGTCCTGAAGTTTGGTGTTTAAGACAAAAAACTGAATTGGACTGCTCCGAATATCAATTATATATATAACGCATAACTAACTATCATCGTAAGCACGTAACATAAAAGATGAATGAATTACAGATCCGCGAACGGGATCGTGGATGCGCACTGCTAAGGAGTCCCACAATAGGACGAAACGGCCGTCCAGTGCTTTCAGGTTTCCAACGGTGGTCTAACATCAACCGGTTCATGATCTCAATCAAAAAATTAATAATCACCGCTACCCCTATACTGATAAATGTACAATAGTCAATTAGTGGACTATAATTAATTGGTTCATATATCCACTATCAAAAGACTGCTGCTTTACAATCAAATCACATCCTTCTCTTATATTGTAAAACGAAGTGATCAATATGCCATCTTTCTTCCCTTAAGTTTCTTACTCTTGGACACAAGAATAATGACGTGTGATTTTACACAAAAAAGGGAATATATCTATACCATTTTTAGTCCCTTTTATTGCGCAAAAGCAGCATTACTGTAGATGTTGGTTATCCGAGACGAACGTCTTATTGTTATTGCATTTTAGTACAGTTAGCAGTATGGCTTCATCCTTGAACCTTGGGTTCACTGCTTTAAGCCTTACTTCTTCCACTTGAAAATGGAAGATTTAAGATAACTATTGTTCTAGCTAATAAAGCTCGACTGAGCCATCACGGTTGACAAGTTTAACGATCGTGTTATTGTGGGATAGAATCTTTCAAATGAATAACATCATTTATTCGATCCAATAAAAAAAAAACAAATACGCGCACTATTAATATTACTAACCTGAGTTGTGTTTTTACAGCTTCTACACTCATAAGTCTTATTACGTTGATGAGCAATTGCTATAAGACCGCATAAATTACAAACATACACTTGATATGGATCACTAGCAAAAAATAAACGTTCACGTAAAAATTGTGCTGCACCATGAGCTATTTGACAATCACGTTCCATTTCACCAAAACGTAGACCACCATCACGACTACGACCTTCCATAGGTTGACGATTAAGTATTTGAACAGGTCCACGAGAACGACTATGAATTTTATCATCAACCATATGTTTTAAACGTTGATAATAAGTTGGTCCTAAGAAAATTTGTGAATTTAATTTTCTTCCAGTAAATCCATTATACATAATTTCATTACCGGTATGTTGATAGCCATACTCTTGTAAAAGTAATGAAATTTTACGTACATTTACAGCATCATTAAATGGTGTAGCATCACCAATTTCACCTTTGTTTGCACTAACTTTACCCTAGAAATAAACAGTCATTGTATGAATTTTTAAAGAAAAAAAACAAACAATTACATGTCAGTAAGTGGTTTTATTTGAACACATAGATATTGGTACAAGGGAACACCAGATATATATGCACCACATAAATCTCATTTGATTTGTGTGCATGAGCTGTGATACTGTCCGGGTGTTCAAACTGAAGCAGGTGGTTTTCTTAGAGAGCCTTTGACCTAAAGGTTTGATTCACAAGGTAATGGAGCAACGTCAGGAGATGCAGAACTGATTTTTATGGACTAGAGACACCAGATTTATTCGTAGTTTTTAGTTGAATTGAAATTATGTTATTTTAGATGACACAATTCTATTTCAATAATTAAGTAGACTTAAAAGAAATTGGCATAATCTTTCAAGGTGTAACTGATTAGTTGAATATTTTTAGCTATTAAAGATGGGGTTCGTGGTTAGGCGTTCGGTTTAAGCAACTGGACAGTATCCCAGCCTTTAGACAAATTCTGGTACCCCTTGGAATTAATGTTTATGTCTTTTTAATTGTGCAAGTATTTGGAATTCAATGAACCTTATTTGGATTTAGAAGAGTCCTGTCAATATGTTCTTGAAACATGATTAAGACTATAGAAACACTCAACACTGAACAATCCGTTGAGCATTTCAGTATGTTAAACGTATAAATAGCTTTACATTTTAAGTAACTTGATGTTGAATGTTTTAACTATCAGGTTACTGTTTCGTTGTACCCTCGTTTAACATGACGAATTCCTGATATTATGAACTTGCTTTTAGTCACGAATGCAAGTATTGCGTAACAAAGTACAGAAATAACCAATTGCTGTACAAATAAAGTCGACAGGACGGGACTCAAACCTGCGATCTGTCACTAATAATGATTACGAACTCGTGAGAAATACAATAATTGTTTTACAGAAGATTAAATAAATATTTATAAAACAAAATCACCTACCTGTAAACATTCAATTAAATGTCCAATAGTCATACGACTAGGAATAGCGTGTGGATTAATAATAATATCTGGTGTGATTCCTTCACATGTGAATGGCATATCTTCTTGACGATAACGGATACCACAAGTACCTTTTTGTCCGTGTCGACTAGCGAATTTATCACCAACTTGTGGTGCTTTTGTAGTACGTACACGTACTTTACAAAATTTATTGCCTTCATTATTCCATGTGACCATAACTTGATCAACTATACCATATTCACTGCGACGCATAAATACACTAGCATCACGTTTAGTATATCGTCTTTGTCCACCTTCCATCTAAATTATGTGTGAGAACAGTTAAACAAAAATATACATCAAGAACTGAATCATGTTAACTTTTCTAAGTGAAAAAAAGTCGTACCTATGTATCCAAAACAAGAACCCGGTATCAAATGATCATAAGCAAAAGAAATTGCGATATCCACGTGGTCCTAGTCGGTCAGTCGGCTAAAACGTAGGACCAGGCACATATACGCATCGGTCTAAGTTACCACACCTCATTAGTATAACAAAATGACCAAAAAATTCAAAGAAGTAGTTACTTCAATGGTGGTAATATATAAAAGAAAAATTCCATGTAAGGAGATAGTACAGGAAGAAAGATTTAGTTTGCAGAAAGATATGAAGCGATTTTAATCTCAATTTAAGGGAATATAGAGAGTGCATACACCTACGCCATTGTGATCGATTCTGAGCCATGTTACCAAGAGTCTCTAACCATTGGTTACGATAGTCACGCGGACCCCAACCAAGTAGTCTGCATCTACCAACATGGCTCAAACCAGAAGTTAGTGTCTTCAAGCACTGATGCCACGTTTTGGTTTGAGTGTCCCTAACTTTCTTCCAATCATCCTCAACACTAGTCAGCATTGCACGTCGTGGTAATGGGTGGTTCAGGGATACGTAACACGTGGCCCAACCATCTCAGTTGATGAAGATTCACAACCTCATTAACTGATTTCCCATTATCCCCTAATACCCTGTGTCTAACCTCACTATTACTTACCCAGTGATCCCAGAAATATTTTCAAGGCATCTGTGGTCAAATACTAGTAGCTTACGAGTATCTTCTACTCGTGATGGCCACTTTTCGCAGCCGTGAAGTACAACAAAACGAACCGCTGCACAGTATACTCGTCCCTTAATTGAAAGACGAATATCTCACCTTCGCCACAGGTGACGTAAGTTGGCAAAAGCCAAATGAGCTTTTTGAATCCATGCTGAGATGCATTTTGTCAGTATTGTGGTTGCGGAATGAACCAATTGATGTTAGACCATCGTTGGAAACCTGGAAGCACTGGACGGCCGTTTCGTCCTATTACGGGACTCCTCAGCAATGCTCTTAAGAGTTTGTCCTGGGTTCAAATTCCGCGAGAGGGATCGTGGACGCGCATTACTGAGGAGTTCCACAATAGGACGAAACGGCCGATCAGTGCTTTCAAGTTTCTAACGATGGTCCAACATCAATCGGTTCATGATCTCAATCAAAAAATATTCATTTTAATTGATTATAGAAAATACTCTATAAGAGTACAAAAAAAAGAAAACTACTAAAAAGAAAGAAAAAAAGTTGAAATCTAAATGACTCATTATAATTGTACTCTGTCATATTCATATTAGACTAGATATCTATGTAGATTTTTAAGAATGATTCATAGAGATTATTGACAATATATACATATGTATATAATTAGTTGGAATACCCATAGAATAATATATAAAGGATAAAGAAGAAAAGATATTATCTATGTGTAATTCATATTGAATTGATGATTGGCTTTAATGATTATGACAAATAAACAAGGATATTCATCATCTATCTAACTATCTATGGGTATATATATATATATATATATATATATATATATATATATATATATTGCATGATGTAGTTATTTATAATTTATTTATTTCAAGACATAGATATTGGTATAAGGTGGCATCAGATACATATGCACCACACAAATCTCACTTGATTTTTGTGAGGGCTGTGATACTGTCCGGGTGCTCAAACCGAAGCAGGTGATTTTCTTAGGGGGCCACACCCGGAACCTTCAACCTAAAGGTCTAATCCACAAGGCAGTGGAGCATCGTAAGGAGATGCAGTCTCATGGTAACCAGCGACCAACAATAGGTTCATACATCATTCGCTCCTTTAGGATACTGAAGCCTATATGCACCACCGGTTTAAAATCAGGGTTTTCCAACTCCCCTAGGTGGACTCTTGGTGTCCACCAACCCGGTTAAAGCACCGGATATTCGCTTTTCATTCTCTCAATTTCGTAAAAAACATCCCCGCCACGAGAAGGCAGTAAGTAGGACTTCCCTGGCAGAGGCTATATACGCGTGACCATGTGAGAGCATTTCGAGAGGGAGAGCAGACTCTCCCCACTCTCGGCCGTATCAGGGCATCATGCATTGCCCCCAAATGCATGATGTAGTGATAAAAATTGAAAAATGAAATTCCATTTATACTATAGCTTTTTCAACTTCGTAAAGAGTCGGAGGACCTACATCAACTTGCCATTCAGGTCGACTGGAGATCGTGGGAAACCGAAGTGTAGCTGAAGGCCAATTGAACTGATCCCTAAAGTGTTCTGCCATCCATCCAATCTCCTGGATTGAGAATGTATAATAATGTTCAGAGCCAGATAGAGTGAGCTTTCGAGCATCTATCAGTGCAGTAGATGCTGTTGAGATCCAGTGTTTCTCCCTAACGTTGTGGAGTACCGTGCTAGCAGACATCACTGCTGTTTCTACAGTTTTTCGGATATCATTCCATGCTGCATCGGGGTGGGCATCACATACATGGCTGCCTAACTGTTTTTCTAGTTGTTTCTGAAATATACTCTTAGCTTGACTATCATTAAGTAGGACCCTAAAGGGTTTCCTTGCAGCATGTTTCCTACGTCCAGTAAGACGCAGACAAATACGCGCTCGCACTAGAGCATGATCTGAGTCTAAGCATGTGCTCCAGAATGAGCGACAGTCTTCTATCCAGCCCCTCCATAGGTGGCTGATAGAGATGTGATCTATTTGGGTCCAACGTTGGGACGAATTAGGAAGTCGCCATGTCAAAAGATGTTTTTCCTTATGCTTAAATCTAGTATTTGCAAGAAACAGGCGGTTATCTGAGCATAGCTGCAACAGACGGTCACCGTTATCTGTTCTTTGAGCCGCGACACCATAAGATCCACCCAGGTGTCCTTACCTTTCACTTAGTTTACCTACTTGAGCATTAAAGTCACCAGCCTCTATTACTACATCAGAGCGCCTAGCTTTCCGGAGAAGGTCGGAAAGCTTTCTATAAAACTCATCTTTTACCTCATCTAGGCTGCAGTCAGTGGGAGAGTAGGCAGAGACGACGAAAAGGCAACGACGAGTGTCCCTATCTTTCCGAGTCCTTACTGTTCCGTTTAGTCGGACAGCACACAAACGACTGTCTACTGGGATCCAGTCTAAGAGAGCTAGTTCCGCCTTAGGACTCAATGCTATACCTACGCCAGCGAGGCCACGGGAAGCAGCATCAGGGCTTCCAGATACACGGAGCGTAAATCGAGTTGGTTTGTTACTTTGACATGGTGAGGTCAAATGAATGACACTACTCGGATCCTGTATGCGCGTTTCGGAGACGCAGCACACATCGATGGAGCGAGATTCTAAAGTCCTAGCTAAGGAAGCCTGTTGTCCCATTTGGCACAGTGTTCGGACGTTGAAAGCTCCTACGAGTAGTTTGGAGCGTGGTTTCAGGAGACCAGGAATAACATTCCGCGTACTCGAATCGTTCGCACTAGTGGGGGCGAGGTGATAAAGGGACGTAAGAAGGGTTAGTCGTGGAGATGAGAGAGTTATTAGGAGGTGTAGGAAGGATTTGAATGTGACCAACTTGGTCTCGTGTGCTGTTACGGGTATGAGGGCTGATATCACTTCCCGGTTGCCCACACCGTGGAAGGGTATTTCTTGGGGGACCTGAAAAGGAAATCGGATTAGTGTTGGTCTTAGTGACCTGAGTGCGTGATCGCAGAGCCCAAGGGACAACTGCTTGAGGCCGGTCGCGCACGGCCTTTTTGTGGGAGGTTTTTAATGTGTTAGCTCCGTTCTTCAAAGGGCCTTACCGCCGGAGACGGAAATCCGTGGGGTAAGGTGAGGTGTGACATTTTTAGGGTCAACCTTTTCTAACCCCTTCCTTCCTTGTGAGAAGGCAGCATCGCTGCAGATGCTGGTTGTCCAAGGGAAACACCTTACTGCTGTCACACCTCTGTACAGTCAGCAGTACGACTTCGCCCTCAGACCTTGAGTTGCTGCTTTTAGTCTTACCGTTCTCCAATCGACCTGCCTGGCATGGTAGAACCTACAGGAACATATGTTCCAGCCAATATAGCTCGGTTGGGTCATCACGATAGACAAGCCCGACCACCGCGTCAAGGTAGCAGCTACGGTGGGTAAATTATCGCTAACTTCTCCTAGAAACCTAAACTAGATAAACAATATTTTAGTTTTCTAAACCAGCTATACTGGTGTTGTATTGCACATCAGGGATCACATCACTAGGGATTGTCTGGAATATCATTTACCATTTTCGGAAGTTTCATTAGCCACTTATGCACAATAATTTCTGACGAAATCGTAGCACATAGAAAAATTCACTTGGGAGGGAAGTAAGATGTACATTTATCAAAGGCTCACTATACTACATATCAGTCGATTTTGAACTGTTTGATGACAGCGAAGTATGGTTTGCGAAATTAGAGGACTTGATAAAGTTTAAAGTAAACCTTTGAAGCATTGTTCGCATGTAGTGAAATCACCGAATAGGCAACACACATGTTAGATGTAGAGTTCGTGCCCACCTACCAACAATCTCAAAAGTGATCACTGATCTTTTTTCAGCATTTATGCTTCTTATTTTATTCTAAGAGTGATAAAAACAGAATAAATACAGTAATAATTAAGTCCTTATATATAAACACACAAACAAGTTAATAAACGTCATGTCCGAGTGAAACAAATTTACGGACACAAACTTAAGCTACTTAGTGAGTAGTATGTATTAACACGTGACAAAAGAAATCCATTGGGTCATTAAATTATTAAAGACAGTTCAACGAAGAAACCTTTCTCTTGAAAAATATCATTTACTCAAGCTGTACGATCTTAATTATGATGAATTAAGAAACAGTTGCAATTTTACATGTCAAAAGATGAGAAAAGATCATTAAGTCAAATAAAATGCTAACCTAGCTAAAATTAGTGTGTGATATATTTAACCTACAAAGTAAACTGATCTTTATAAAACCACCCTAAGTAAACGATAATAACCAATTCATTAGTGACTTGGTTCAAAAATTTAATGATTTTAGTGTTACGTTATGATTGAAGAACTTTAGACAAGTCGGAAATAAAACACTTGTCATCGATTGTATTAGATAATCGTCTACGTAAATCACAAATTGATTGAAGTTGGAATTGGACCACCATTGAAATCTGACTAAACAGTTTTAATGGTTAGGTGTCCTCAGAGAAAGCCGGAAATCTTAGGTCCGATCCCTGGCAATGTCATGTATACGCATTGTTGAAAAGTCCTATACTTGGACAAAACAACTGTCCAATGCTTCCTGGTTTCCGGTGGTACCATCCTAACTACAATTATTCAGTGACGGATATCCCATACAAACTAAACCAATCTCCACAAAACCTCTTAAACTAAACATACAATTATTCGAAAATAAAAGCTAATAAGAAAGCGATTTGTTAAAAAGAACTTTTTACAGTATGATCTTCATTAATTTATACACAGATGCCTTCAAATGCCCTGATATGGCCGAGGGTGGGGAGAGTTAGCTCTTACTCTTTAGAAATGCTCTCACATGGCCACCACCAGGGAAGTCTTACTCACTGCCTTTCCACAGCAGGAGTGTTGTTTACGAAATTGAGAGGACGAAAAACGAATGTCCGGTGCTTCAACCGGGTTGGTGAACACAGAGTCCTCCTACGGGAGTTGGAAAACCCTCATTCCAAACCAATGGTGCACATGGACTCCACGATCCTGAAGGAACAAATAGCGTATGAGCCAATTATTGGTCACTGGCTACCATGGGACTGCATCTTCTGACGTCGCTCCACAGTTGTCTTAACGATTGCAGTCGCTTTAACTACATACACTTGTAGAAATGTTTTGTCATCTTCAATGAAATAATGAATGATTCATTCATCTTTCAAAATACGTGGATAAACTAAAATTATCATTAGAAAATATCTTTTCTGATCTTCATCGCATTCTATATAACCACTACTACTACTACGACTATAGTTGAGTTGGGGGAAGATAGAAAAAGAAACTAAGGATAATCAGATAAAAATGAAGTCAGTCAATCAATCATAACCAACACTGAACCTGGTACATATATGGATCAGTTCAAGTTGCTACACTACATTAGCATAGTAAGATGAAACTATAAAAAATAAATGTCGGAGTAGTAGAATAAAAATTATAAGAATATTTTGAAAACTCAACATATAAGAGAAGTCAAAGAGTGAATGTATCTGAGTTATTGTCATCGATTCTGAGCTACATCATTGAAAGTCTTCAGGCGTTTGTCATGATAATTTGATGAATCTTAATCAAGTAGTCACTACCTAACTGACAAATCTTAGTCAAGGAATTAATGACTTGATGGAATGACGGGACGTCTTAGATTAACTACTCTTAAATTTTTCTAGCCTACTTCTAGGCCAACCACGAATGGATATCGAAGTGGTCAGCCAGACGTAATATAAGTTTCAGATAGTTCAATCGATGAAGATTTACAGCTTTATCAACAGATTTCCCATTTTTAACTAGTAATATATTTCTAAACTCAACTTCTTTGTGATCAATTTACATTTTCTTGGAAAGTTTCTTCGATGCCTTATCTTTTCTATTATCACAAATACTGTTACTACTTCTACTACCATGGGATTTTACCCAGAAAACTTCATCTCGCTGTGTTAATGAAGTATGATGATCCTTGAACCGATACACACATCTCCCAGTTTTTACATTACGTTTGATAAACTGAACCCCAATACTACCAAAAATATAAAAATATCACTTACCTCATCTTCATTCTCTGGTAAAGTAATTGTTTTACCAATTAATACATCATCGCCAGAAACTCTGGTACCAGGTGCAATCAATCCATCATCATCTAATTTATCATAGATAGCATGACGCATTCCCTGACAATTTTGTGGATTTGGTTTTTCAAACACTTCTTCTAAATCCATACCATGTCGTGTTTCTTGATCTTTATAAGTACGATAAAATTCTGATCGGAAGAAACCACGTTGTATAGCGCTTTCATTGATAATAACAGAATCTTCTTGATTATAACCGGTATATGTTGCAATTGCAACAATTGCATTAATACCTAAATATAAAATAAACTGTAGTAACATTAGGGAGAAAAACCTAATAAATTACATAAGGAATATTTTTTTAGAAATATTGACTAGTGTAATAAGATCGGCGTTGGATGTGAGAAAATTATCAACCGCAGCAAATGGATGGTGACTGAGCAATATCGTGAATTGGCTGAGGTTAGACATTAACACCGTCCAAGCGCGAGACCGAAGGTCCTGCAGGGTTAGATTCTCGCATACGAAGTCATGGATGCGCACTGATAAGAGACTCCATACCAAAACGAGACGGCCGTTAAGTGCTTCCAGGTTTTCAAGGATGATCTAGTTCAGATCAGTCCGTGATTTAAACTGTGAAAATGTTAATTTATCCTCAAAGCACTACACAATCGATTGTCGTTATCAACTTTATTTTTTTGCTAAGATGAGTTCACTAGTAAGGGATCAGAATGATGGACGATCCTTCTGACCTGTCTGACGAAAATACATAGACATGCTTATCTATGCTATCTTATCGCACATTAAAACATGATCTAATACTGACTTACGGTAAGTTAAATGTTCTTGATATCAACATATCTAATTCTTCAATTTAGCACGGATGATCTGAAAGGAAATTCTAAGAAAGTTCAAGAACTAAAGCCAAATTGAGTTTACATCTAAAGTTTTGTCTCTCTCACACCTAGCCATGAATTATTGGAATTCTTTATCATAAAAAATAGTATCACGACAGTCTGTCAATATGTTTAAAGAGAGGTTAGATTTTTACGGTACTACTAATCACGAGAATCAGGTCACTCAGCCTCGAATCCTAGCCTCTGAAGAGTAAAGACACAGTTTTTTAAACACAGATCAACACTCTTAGCATTGAGAAAATGCATTTATTTTCACTCCATTTTCCCAAAGCTAATTCAGTAGAGAAATAAAAACATTTTGATTAAAACGACGCTCAAGCGAAACGGTTTTGAATCGCCTCTCCAGATAAACGAGTTTTCTTGGAAATGTAGATGCATCATAACTGGAAATAGATAAATGAAACTTCTCTACTATCCTTGTATGATCATAGAATTTTATTTGTACAGCTCAGAAGATATTCAGTTTATTTGTCAATATAAGAAAACAAGGTGAGTATAACTTGTTCCATGCACAAAAAATCAATAACATGGAGGAACCATTAAAATATTCTTCTCTGGTGTAAAACAAACTTTTAGCGCATAAGATGATTTACTATTTATCAAATTGCTGAATTTACTACTAATCATATGAATAAAGTATACATGTGGCACCACCCATAAAGTATGGGGGGTGACTTAAACATGACATCGAATCGATTCACAAATTCGCAACCTTGTGGTTTCGGTCGCCATCATGTCAAAGTTAACGTGAGCTTCTTCGTTAGAATATGCGATATAACAATGACAGATTGATAAGTGACTGATTAAATGACTCAATTACTAGATAGCAGGTTTAAGCTTCAATTCTGCTAGGAAGACTTCAGATTATCTAGTGTTTTAGTTGTTAATAATTAGTAGTATATTGAAGACCGTGATAACGTTTTCAAAATTCATATTTCCCTGCCGACCTTCATTGTTATCTGACTACTTGCTTTCGCCTTTAGTTTGCTATCTTCATTATGCCTCAAGTTTATATTTGCTGCAGTACAAACACAGTTGTGTCACTGTAAATTTTAACCTTTTGGATAGCAAGCTTTTCTTCTAAGTTCCTAACTTCTCTTGCAATGGTACAAGGAAAATTATTGTTAAAATATTGAGAATCAATCGTTTGGCCTATCAGTCAGTCAGCTGCAACGTAGGACCAGGCACATATATGCATCGGTCCAAGTTGCCATACCGCATTAGCACAACAAGATGAACACCGGATTCATAGGAGTAGTTAAGTCAATGGTGGTAGTATATAAAAGAAAGATTGTGTATAAGGATATATTACAGGAAGAAAAAATTAGTTCGTAGAAAGAAAGATATGAAGCGATTTGAATCTCTTAGTTTAAGGGAAGACAGAGAGTGTATGCACCTATGCCATTGTAATCGATTCTGGGCCATGTTACCAAGAGTCTCTAACCATTGGTTACAATAGTCACGCGGACCCCAACCAAGTAGTCTGCATCTACCAACATGGCTCAAACCAGAAGTTAGTGTCTTCAAGCACTGATGCCACGTTTTGGTTTGACCGCCCCTAACTTTCCTCCAATTATCCCTAACACCAGTGAGCATTGCACGTCGTGGTAATCGAAGTTCAGGTATATGTACCACGTGGCCCAACCCTCTCAGTCGATGAAGATTCATAACTTCATCAACTGATTTACCATCATTCCCTAATACCCTATGTCTAACCTCACTATTACTTACCTGGTGATCCCAGCAGTATTTCTAAGGCATCTGTGGTCAAATACTTGTAGCTTACGAGTATTTTCAACTCTTAATGGCCATATTTCGCAGCCGTATAGTAGAACGGAACGAACTCCTGGACAGTATACTCGACCCTTAATTGATAGACGGATATCTCGCCTGCGACATAGGTGACGTAAGTTGGCAAAAGCCAAACGAGCTCTTCGAATCCGTGCTGAGATTTCGTCAGACACCAACCCATTAAGGCTGATCAGACTTCCAAGATAAGTGAAGTTGTCAACGCGTTCTACTACTTCATCGATCTTCGAATTAGAACAAACTCATCTCATTTAATTCATGCAACTAAATAATATAGTATTATTAGGGTTCATGTAAAATTTATAGCTACTCGAAACTAAATAATGTATATACAAGCACAACAACAAACAGTACTCACCTGCTGGAAGTTCTCTAAAACGTAAATACTCCATAGATCGTGTAGCAACTAATGGTTTTTGTGGATAATATAATACATTAGCCAATGTATCCATTCTTGTATGAAAATTACTAATATACACACCCATAGCTTGTTTACCCATAGCACTTTGATATGTATTTCTTGGTGATTGATTATGATCAGGGAATGGTATAATACTAGCACATATACCTAATATCATACTTGGATGAATTTCACAATGTGTATGTGTTTTACAATAATTTACAGCAGCTTGCATTTCTGCTGGGCCCATAGCAATCATAACAGTTTCTTCTTCTAAAGTATCAATATACTCAACTACACCACTGAGTACAAGATCTTGCCAGCTAAATTGAATAACCATGCAATAATAATAATAATAATAATAATAATAATAATAATAATAATAATAATAATAATAATAATGATAATAATAATAAATGTCATATAAACATAGGGCAACCTTATTAATGTGCACATTCAACAAATAAATTGTACGGTGATGTTCTATACAGATAGAGATAAACTTCATTAACATAGAAAGCCGCGTAAATGTGCAATGATTCAAGTTGACATGCTAGAGGTGTTATATGTAGATATTTAGAGAAAGACTATGCATTCATGATACATTAACAAATACTATTAATTCTTAGTTGTTGTATTCACATAGTGGATTCATAAGTGCTTAGAACATGTTAACTTGACTCAGGCCAAAATGATTTCTCAATGTTCGTAAATAATATTCGGTAAGATTCTCTTCTTAACTCCACCTGGAATTCCTTCCTTCTGAATTATACCTCTTATGTTAGTATTTTATTTATTTATTTTTCTCGTTGTGTTGCACTTCAGGTGTTAAAAAATCGGCTGATACGTATTCGTATCAGATCGTTTGTTGTCTGTGGTTGATTAATAAATTAGTCTAGAGCCAATCCACAAATGTAGGTGTGAAATTGTTTAAGATAACCGTATTACTCATGAGTAGCTAGCTTTCGTTCGTATAATTTCTTCCTTGTATTTTAACTGCTTAATCAAAAATATATTTCATCGGCTGCTTACTTACGCCTGTTACACCTCGTGGAGTAGCCGCACACCAAAATTCTCCATCTAACTCTGTCCTGGGCAATCCTTTCCAGTTGCTATTTATTCTTTTGATGTCTGCTCCCAACTCCCGACGTAATGTGTTTATTGATCCTGCTTTTTTCCTTTTCCCCTCAGGATTCCAAGTTAGCGCTTGTCTCGTGATGCAGTTCGGTGATTTCCTCAATATATGTCATATTTACCTCCATTGACTTCCCTTAATTTTCTCTTCATATAAAAGCTGGTTTATTCTCTCCCACGATAGTCTGTTTTTGACGGTAACCGGTCAACGGACATTGAGTATCTCGGGTAGACAACTGTTTATAAATGCTTCTACTTTTTTGATGATGGTCGTGGTAATTCTCCATGTTTCAGCTCCGTACAGTAGAACTGTTTTGACGTTCGTATTGAAGATTATAACTTTGATATTGGTTGACAGTTGTTTTGAATTTCATATGTTCTTTAACCGTAGGAATATCACCCTTTCCTTGATGTTCACATCAGATCCTCTTCGTTCATTGTTCATTTTATCGACTGGGTTATATTGATATGATTATTTTTAGACTTATCTGTGCTGAGAGTTAAATGTTGTTTCTAATTTTTGTCATTTTAAATGTGAGATTTTTTAAAAATTGAAGCTAATAGTTACTTATTATAGAACCATTTATTATTTACATATATATTCACAAATCAATATTTTGAGGAACCATGATAGTCTTCTGACTGTAATCGACCTTAAATGAGTTCTTCCAGTTAATTGACTAATAGCTACTCAACTCTTATAGCATTATTAGAGCTGAAAGTCTATAAAAATCCCTTATTTAACAAACGGCTAACAATTTTCATAAGATTACATTGATGAATGCCACTTAATACCAACAGATGGATTCCAGAGAAAATAGGTTAAACATGAGGGACAAATTTACGATAGGGATATATGATTTCTAGGTTTAAGGACTTTAGACAAAGTCTCTTCTAGTTGCTTAGCGAAATTCAGTTTATGATATTGAAAAAAAGAGAACTGATTTGTTGCTAATAATTTTGACCAGCCTTTGCTTTTGTAAACAGTAGGAAATTCTATTTTACAAACGAAAAAAATCATGGAATTTTACCTGTAACGATTATACGCCTTATCTTTTAAAAGTTCAATGTGACTACGTTTCAATAGTAATTTTCCTTTTTCAACAATAACTAATGGACGACAAATACGACCAGCATCTGTATAAATTCGTATCTCTTGATCACGATAATCCCGAATCATACTGACTTCACTGACAATGACATCAACTTGACGACGTAGTTTTCGTAGAGTACCCATTAAATGATCTGGTGAACTATGGATACCAACCCAACAGCCATTGACAAATATTTTACAAGTCCTAGAACAATGTTAAAAGTAAATAAAAGGTTTAACCATTCGATACGAACAATAGGTAGTCAAAAAGATGATTTAAACTAAAGTGATTCATGAAAAATTACTTACTTTCCAATAGCTGAAGGAGCGATTTCTTCCAAATTCTCCATACTCCACTCCTCTAAGAATTCTAAAATAGGTGATGGTTGACTTCCAACTGAAATATATGCCATTAAAGCAAGATTTTTCACTAATCCCACAGCATGACCTTCAGGTGTTTCAGCTGGACAAATCATACCCCATAAAGTGTTATGCAATTGTCTAGGTCTTGCCAATTTTCCATCTCTTCCGATAGGTGAATTAAGTCGCCTTAAATGTGATAAAGTGGATGCGAATGTTAAACGATTAAGCACCTAAAATATATAGATAAAAAAGAACAGAAATTTTACATTCACAATTATAGATTTATTACCTGTGAAACACCTGGACGTGCTTGATTTGCTTTTTTCTGATCACCCCAATTACCCGTAGCAAGTGAATATTTTAAACCATCTGTAATAATTTGACTACGAATTGCCAATTCTAAATTAAAATCTTTGCCCTTATCTATGAATTTTTGAGCATATAAACGAATTTCTTTAGTAAGATTTCTAAACAATCCACGAAATAAAAATGCAAGAAGCGGACCAGCTAAATCTAATCGTTTATTCCCATAATGATCGCGATCGTCAACATCACGACGTTTTAATGCAGCCAACAATAAACGATGAACCATATAGCCTAAAAAGTAAGCTTTACGTGTTTCACAAAAATCTGATACTCCAACATGTGGTAAAGTTTCTTTTTGAAGGATTTCTTTGGCATATTTTATACGCTTTTCTTTCGTTACACCAGGTCGAGCACCACGAGAACCAATGAAATTAAGTGCAACTTTTTGTTCCTAAACACTTGGAGGTCAGTAAAATGTAAACCAAAACTTACCTGAATTACAAATGCATCATCTAAGGAAGGTTTAATCATTTCACGCATTTCTGTATCATCAAAATCATAAATAATATGTTCTAATATATCACGATCAGCGACAAAACCTAATGCACGAAACACAATTAACACTGGAATCTCTTGTTTTATATATGGTAAAATAGCCACAATTCTTTGACCAATAGTAGCTCGTTTGCTGCCATCTTTACCACCACGTGCCATCATATTAATCCATAATGTACTAGCTGGCCGGGAACTATGCTCAAGACATGATCGAATTTCTGTCTTGTAAGCATATTTACTATCCTTTTGTTTAAAAACATACACTAAAATAAAAATTCCACGTTTTAGCTAATCGGATAACAATAAAACAAACCTGTATTCGTAGCCATTTTTTCTTGTGCTATCAAAACTTTCTCAGATCCATTAATGATGAAATATCCGCCAGGATCTAGAGGACATTCGTTTAATTCAGCCAGATCACGATCACTCATCACTGATAAAAGACAATATGTAGATCTAACAAACATGTGGATTAGAAAATGTATGCCATTTATTTATAGAAGAATATTTTACCTCAACATAATCGGAATTTTGCCTATAAACTTCTTTTCTAACGGCTTTTCCTCTTCAATTTCATCACGAATTATTTTCTTCATTACATCGACGTAAAGCGGTGCTGCATAAGTCAAGTTTCGTAGTCTTGCATCATTGGGTGTCATCGGCACGGAGGAGCCATCCTTTTCCCAATGAGTAGCTTTACTCAAATAGATTTGTTCGAATTTTAGACGATATTGAACCTAGAACAGTGTGTGTAAGTTATGGGTCAACTTACAGGAGTTTCTAAAATTCCACCACTATGCTGGGCTTCTGCTTGTAACTCGATAATCGGAGAATCTTCAACAATTTTCTGAATTGATGTTTGGATGAATTCATCAAAAGAATCCAACTGTTGTCTGACTAAGCCCTTTTCGTCAAAATAGCTGCTTATAACAATCCAACAAGCTTCCTGCCACATATCTGGCGTGATTTCATCATCCTCATTACATTGTTCATCTCCATAAAACTGACGTTCAGGATCATCCTCTTCAAAATCTTCCAGATCCCCTTCAACATAGAACGGATCTAGAAAATTTTAAGCTAAATTAATTAGCTCCAGAAAGCGTTTCGAAAATCTATAATTACACGGTATTAAACCATAACAATATTACGGCTATATAACTGGAACAATATGATATTGTTTGAGATATCGGGAACACAACATTTAGCCTCGACCTATGGACACTAACTACAATGTCCTAGAGGGTGAAAATAACAATGGTCGACAGACATGACACCTGGGATCGATATCAGGTATAAGATAAGCATGTGGGAAAGAATTAGGAACAATCATGACCGTGATGAAAACATAGTCAGTATCTAGTATGATTACGACTAGTACAAAACAACTTATGTTATTTAGTTTAAATATAACTGGTATACACAAATAATGAGGGATCAAAGGACAGAATAATAATATTGCCAAGAGATAAAAGACTATAGGTCATAGTAACAATGAAGAATGAGAGGTGGGTTAATCAAAGTAGAACTTATAACAATAGATATGCTTTTCTATAGTACAAAGATATGGCTTAAAAGACTATAGTGGTGATTCAATCAAAGATTAGCTGTACCAGTAACAGAATGACACTTTAATCAAGTCCTACCAATGAAATTAGACAGAATAACAGGAACAACGTAAGCCGTTACATAGGTGCACTTCATATAACCACAAAGGAGACACTTATAGGATAAACGGCTACGTAGGAAGTAAAGCAGTTGAATGCATCAATACCTTCACTTGTCTTGCAAATCTTACCAGCCCTAATGGGTTGGTATCTGACGAAATCTCTGTACGGATTCGAAAGGCTTGTTTGGCTTTTGTCAAATTACCCCACCTATAAAGAAGGCGAAATATCCGTCTATCAATAAAAGGACGATTTAACTGCACGGCAATTCGTTCTGTTTTAATTTACGGCTGCGAAACATGGTCATAAAGAGTAGAAGATACTCGTAAGCTACAAGTATTTGACCACAGATGCCTTAGAAATATTGCTGGTATCACCGGGTAAGTAATAGTGAAGTTAGACGCAGGGTATTAGGGAATGATGGTAAATCAGTTAATGAGGTTATGTATTTTCATCGACTGAGATGGTTGGGCCACTTGTTGAGTATGCCTGAACACCGATTACCACGACGTGCAATGCTAACCGGTGTTAGGGATAATTAGAAGAAAGTTAGGGGCGGTCAAACCAAAACGTGGCATCAGTGCTTGAAGTCACTAACTTCTGGTGTGAACCATGTTGGTGGATGTAGATTACTTGGTCGAGGCCCGAACGATGACAGTATAATTTATGGACAAGCCAGCCAGAAGCGTTTGAGGGGTTTCAAGGTCACGACGCCAATTTCAGTACCTAATGCAAACGTATGATCGGTTTAAGGCAGATTTCAAAGAAGACGTGATAATCGAGCGGCTACAACAAATGAGATTACTATGAAAATCCTTTATTTGCGATTGCGGTAATCAAATGACTGCTGTACCACGTGCAGACTACCGTGATGACGTCTTTTGATGTTATTTATGTTGGAGGAAGAACAGGAACTTATTTCGCTCGATCCAGATCTAGACTAGGGCAAATTATGTTAATTGTTGCGAACTGGATAATAAGAGCATTCGTAACACTGGCTGCAACCTTTGCAGATGTTACTGAAGCTTCAGCTGTTTAGTGGTATGAGTATTGTAGAGATATATGTGCAATAAAAATGACAAGCCTACACATATCGTTTCGAAGAGTCGGGAGAATCGTTGAAATAGACGAAACAGTAGTCAGGAAACGAAAATTTAACAGAGGACGTAGTATTAAAGAAGACTGGGTAAGTAGTACTTCCATAAATTTACCTCACAGGTCCTTCAAATTTACAGCAGGTCATCCCAAAAGAGACACTTCCAGCGGGTCAGAAACCGATAGGCGACGACAATAATAACAATTATACGGGAATATCTGCAACCAGGCACTACAACATATACAGATGATTGGAGAGCGTACAGATGCCTGCATAGACTTGGTTATGTGCATCATGACGTTATCCATAAGCGTCATTTTGTGGACCCAACAACCAAAGTGCACAATGACAATATTGAAGCCGTGTAGTCAAGGCCAAAAGAGCTTTTGCGACCTTATCATGGCTCCAGAGGCCGACTATTATAGAACCATGTGGATGGGCTCTTCTACTGTATGCATTACGACTTTAGAACCTCTGAACCCCTTTCAGACCTTGAAACGTTTTTTTGAACCATGTAAAAGAAGTGTATCCACTTTGATTCCTTGGTTTTATATAATATATTTTACTCTATATTAACTGTTTCCTGATTGGCTAATATTTCTCAGTCACAAAAGATTCGTTCCGAGGTCGTCCATAAATTATAGTTTCGCCCTGCGCTCTATAACCTTAGCATTATTTGACAATTTCTTTATGGTGTGCATGCGTCAGTGGTCAACATGTCTGTTATCTCCAAATATCACGCCTCAGAAATTTAGATTACAAAGAGAAGTACCTTGTAGGTTACGTGACAGCATCCAGCTGTGGTTTTAGGCTTGGTGCCGCACTGGATCATATTTTATGACTGTAAGAAGTGGTAGTCAAAAATAGAATCCGTGATTAAGTTGCTGACCCTTCACCGAGATGGATTCGAAGTAACATTCTCCTAAGGAAACATGTGGAGAGCTTTGACGTTATAAGCATTGCTAGGTCAAGAACGGAAACTTACCTATAGGTGTGAATAGATAGATATAAGTGAGGTATGCAGCAAAACTAGAACCAATTATTCGAGGAACTATTTTAGTGATGGAGTGAACTGGATAAAAATTGAGTAGCCATACAAAGCTGTAGAATCAACCCATCACGGCATTAACCTATAGTTTGTATTACGAAAGGATAAAGATTTTCTATCAAACTTTTTAACGTTCAAAACTGATCGTTCACATGAAAAATCAGAGAGAACAGCACGTAAGTGGAGGTAAAAAAGAAATCCTATGGGGTTGTTAGTGGAAAACTAGGCATGCAAACATGGTGTGGTGACTTGCGCTATAGCGAGAAAAAATTACAAACCTGACATTCTGAAGATAAAAACTACCCCACAGTAGTTATCAAGGGTAAATCCAAAGGACGTGTGCGTCTGGACACCTCAAGGTCATCCGGTCGATTCAAGAACGGCACATCTCTTAATCGAGTAAACTTAAACGCTTTTGAGAAAAAAATGGTAATTCTTCTGATACATTGGTTCTTTAAAATTGTTATGTAATCATTTTGCCATCAATATGTGTTTAAAGTAATCTCAACAAAGCGTAAGAAATTAGTTATTTGTGAGGGAAATAAACTTAGAATATCATTCTTTTTCAATGCTAAGGGGGAAGTGGTTGAAGGGCCTGTATCCGAAAGTAGGATGAGGGTCGCAGTTGAGATCTATTGAAAATTTTGACAGATAGAGCTGCGACCACGTATAAAGATAATGAGTTCGGTAGAAACGTCGGTTGTTAGATAAAAGGGAATTCCTCTTTAAGTTGTAACCCTCCTAAGAGCATCCTCGTCAATCCTCTAGTTCTTTGGCGAGAAAATCCGAATAAGTCTAGTTTCACCAGTTTCTCGGCAGACGGCAGCACTGAAAGTTCAGAAATCTAGTTATTGTTCATAAGACCTACATCCAAATTTCACTGCCCTTTTTTGCCCGATGACTAATTACTCATGTGTGATTCTGGAATTCTTGACGAACATGCACTGTATGCATAAACATGACTGAAAGCACAACTAAGTGACCAAACGATTGAAAAATTTTCCGCAGCCGTTGCATGGCAATCTACAGTTTTTTGAAATCTTGACTGGCAATGACTCCGAAATCGTTGCATGGACAAGGAGAAACCCGAAGTATTTTTTTGTAATGCGGTGGTCATCAAGAACTACAGTGGACAAGCCATCTAAAGCAGAGGCAGAATGGGAAGCTTTGTCACGGAATTTTGTGGTCGATCCAGTGACTGGTTGATATAAGTTGTAGAACGGTGTGCAATCATCTATGAAGAAAATAAAGCAGTCATCTATCGGTTGGTAAATTGTAGTGGTAGTTGTACGAGCTTAAAAAGCCAGGTATCACCCTTGAGAAAGGCTTGATATTTGTTGCACAGAAAAATGTAAGGACGTAAAGTGGTACTCCAAGCAAACGGTTAAAAGCCTATTGGCAATTGAACACTAGAAGTACAAGTAAAATGCTAAAGAACTAAGCTATAAGAGTTTTTAGATCGATATATGAAGTTAAGACTGAGTAAACTTGTTGAAGCTAACTGAACCATGTTTTTGTAATGAATGAAGCAGGATCAATTTACGTTATGTAAAGAAATGACAGTACTGTGTGTCCCGATTTGTCACTTCCTAGGATAAATGACTGGGAGGTAACTATAGGATAGTTTAATACTAGTTACTACAACCGACATGAAGTGTAAGCGGAAATTCACAGGTGCAACTATTCATTAGTGTTCACACTTATCTGGTAGGTGGTGTTGTATTTCGTCTCTGACCGCCAACATTGAGGTTTATAAGCCTGATAACAATTTATTGAGGAATCGCAAGGCAGGTCAGAGAGATGAGCTCAAAGTTGGTTAATGTTTGCCCTGTAGTTAATCTCACTCACATAATTTATGTGTATTTTTTAATGCCAAATGCATTAAATGTGGAAAAATTTGGAAACATGCAGCCTTCTTATTATATTACTGCCTAGTAGCAGAAGGTTGAGAAGATCGAGGAAGAAAGAATGGAAGCAGAAAGCAGTTGATAAGGAAATGAAGGAATAATGAGGCTTGAGACAATTAATGAACAGTTTGTAAATGAAGTATTGGAGTATGGTTTTTCTATTTTATCAAGTAACTCAGTAATTTTGTGCTGAAGATGCCACAGGTATTTGAAGTTTGACAACGCTTCAAACAGTAACACCTAATATCAATCGTACCAACCAAGTGAAATTAAAAGACAGAAGCGAGGAGGTTCGAAGATATATTTGATGGGCTATCAATATATCGTGAATCGACTGATCTAATCTGGCTAGCGATTGAAGGGTATGTTTGTTGAGCATGGCATTCTCACTCGTAATTTGGTGTGGATGCATGACCGAGTGCCTTCAGCTAGGTGAGTTCATTGAAACTAATGTGGTCAGCATCCAATATCGAAGACTTACAGAGCTATTTATTTTGGGGATTTATTTGCCGCTACAGTGCCTTATATGATCGGTTGTCCTCACTCATATTCTCTTTACTTTACAAGTAATGCCAAACTGTGTCATTCAGATTCTATAAGTTCCAATGGTTCATATTCAAAAACGATTATATCTGTCTAGCGGTTCTTTTTTATAATTTTATTGTTGAAACTCGCACTATTAAGTCCATCATTTCGGTTGGGAAGTTGTAGCCATTAAATCCTGATGCTATAATTGTCCTTGCCAAAAATTCCAATTTTTTGGAAATTCCTAGTTAATACAATATTTCGAATACTTCTAGTCACCATAAGTATTTATTTAATGACTCCTTTCTCCTGCAGTTTGATCGTGCCACGAGAATTTCAATTTCATGGTAGCACCCAGCTCGAAATATGTGGTGTCTTACTTATATGTAAAATGTTCTTATTTAACAGTTATAGATTATTTTTACTTCCCTCAGTTACCGTAGTCATAGGAAAAGTTGTAAATGGATTTGCTTAGAGCCATATACTTAAATAATTCGTTAAAGCACAATAGTCCTTATGAGCTGAATCTTCTTTTTATCACTCATAGTCTACGATCACATAAGAATTCGAGCTATGTGAGCAGCGTTTGGGGTAAAATTTATACCAAGAAAGAAAAATACTTAAGTAATGTTACTCCCCTACTATGCTGTCAAGGTTTCCTCTGATACGATATAAAGTACTACATAGCGGACCCTGTTGTTACCTTCATGTATAATCTTACTTTCTTGTAGTAATATAGCCTTAGATTCACTTTACCGTTTTCGGGAAGGATATTTTTTAAAGCTACTAAAAATAATTATTTTCATCTAACAAAACGAACACTCATAGATACAGATGCTGATAAATACTATGCAATTTCTGGTAATGCAGACAGACAGGGATAAATGTGAAGCAAATATAAAAAGCCAAGCTTGCCAGCTCGATTCGATAAAGCGTGATTCTCTAGTAATGATGAGACTGAAAAATGAGCTAAAGACAAGTGAAAAACACAGATGTGATCATATAAAAACGGTCAAGTTCAAATGAGAATGACTGACAAGGTCAAAATGATGTGAATAACGACTCGAAAAGAACAAAGTAGTTGGTCTTCAGAAAAGGCTAGAATAACTGATGTTGGTGTGATACAGTACTCGATACTACGACTGGAACCAAACCAGACTTATGACTACCCTCATACTCTGAATAAACATCTTTCTAATCTCAAATACAATGAGATATACCGCTCTTGACATTGATCATTTCGTTTTCTTGTTTTCCTTCAGGGCGCTTTCTTACACGAGAAACCTGGGAACTAATAATGTCTAATTCTGTTATGTTTAAAGTTGTCTTATTACAAAACTTCATGTTATATAAGGAGGGAAATCATCCAGATTGTACCACTTACTTTGATTTTGAAAATCAAGTTTGCTGGTTGGCTGTAGCGTTCTTATAATACCGGTGTGCACATGAATGAATAACGTTTAAAAGAATTTCCATAGTCTTGACATTAATCTATGATAGGTGGTGACCAAACATATAAGGTGTTAATCTCAATCCATAAGAGTGAATCAACCAAGTCATCTAACCTAAAAACCCACCACTTAAGATTCATTTAATCTCTAAATGGGTTCTATTATGATTCTTTCTATTTGACCACCAATCATATATATAAACATGACTAATCCTCCCATTGACCCATTTTGCTATGTCGCTTCTAATGAGTTGGTAGGCTTGTTTGTACAGTCCTCTTTGTAACTGGCCGTACTACTTTGCGTACTTATACTAACTGTATTAATTTACATATTAGAAATCTATCATAATTACCGGCCGCATACATAATTGTCAGTTTTGATGGTGGCCCTGCCTGTAAGATCCAAACTAAGGTTTGGACTGAAGAATAGCTGTCTTGGTGGGTTAGATACGCGCCCTTGCCCGTTTGAAACCAAAACAAAGTAATCGGGTGAAATGACGGTTCTATAATTCATCATAAATTTAAATGTACATCGTTACCTAAACAAATATAACCACCCAGCTATCCAACCAACAATAGTTCAATTAATCAAATCTAAATTACAATAAATAAGAAAGTTGAAAAAGGATGCTAGAAAATTACCAATCGCAACAAATAAATGTTATTCTATCCTGTCTGGATAGATTACACACAGATTCGTTCAAAAGATAATGTTTGGTTGCTTTACAACACCAAGTGTTTTCAATTCTGGAAGAGTGCTTCAACTCACAGTCAAAAATGCACAATTCCAGTCAATGCACGCAACACAATCAAAGGGAGAAACAACCCAATATAGCTGCCGCCAAGAATAGGTATCAAATCAAACAACATAAATGCAGTTCAGAAAGAAACACGGAAACTTAGTGAAGGCGTAAGAAAAAATAAAAACTGTAATAAAATACAAATGCTATTAACTCAAATGGAATGAAAAAGACTAATACAAATGTACAACCAAAGGTATCAATAAGAATAAACTGCAAGTGTATACATGGAGGGATTTTCACACACAAATAATTCAAAATGGATCTTACACCGGCCCGCAAAATCCCTCCATACAACACAAGCCACCTTGATGCCTATGGTCATGGTTCATACCACAACATATTCTACTACACAGGAACGAGCAGGACTTACAACAGTACACCTACTCGACCTACCTACTTTGATAATAGCAAAGAACTAATTCGAACCTTCAAGAAGACATACCTTACGTATATCTCTTCTAACTAATCCATTATTCGTACGAACAGTAACCGTCCTAACCTTTTCGTCGTTATCTATTTCACAACCTTCAACTACTCCCAAGGGCCAATTTCCACGGGTCGAAATATCCGAGGTCACGATTACTACATCTCCCTTTTGAAAATTGTGATGTTCAGCAAACCATTTTTGACGTTTTTGTAAGGACGGTAAATACTCTCTTAACCACCTTTTCCAAAACACATTAGCTAGAT